GATCTATCCCTGTGAAATACAAAATTCTGCCTATAATATGTCAGCACCCTGGAGCTGCAGACCTGATGAATTRACCTGCATCAGTACCTCAGTGCATTTTAAGAACTTTGTGAAATTAGCAGGTATGTGGGCAAAAGTGATAAATAAAGAATGAAGCCACTTCCTTGCTTTCACTGGTCTGAATCCCAAACATTTTTTTTTTTATTTACAGAAGCTCTTCCCTTTTTCTTTGAACATTCCTCTGAAACCTTTGTCATGTGCCAGTATTAAAAAAAAAGAAATATTCTGGAACATTTACACAATACGGCAGTCACCCATCCTGTCATTTTTCACATCCCCATTGTAATTATTTAAAATCCTTATGCTTGAAGATGAGTTTTTTCTCCCTCCCAGCCCAAATCTATTTTGGGAGCAGACTTGTAATTGTGTGTTTGTTAATGTGACTGTCTGTTGCCATGAACAAAGTGAGGTCACCAATTTTCTGTGGCAGCTTTGCCTCCGAGTGAAGGACTGTAAACCAGCCAGCTCTTACTCAAATGAAATGAACCATTTTTTATTTTTATATTATTTTATTTCGTTCTGTTATCACCCCAGTGATATCTGTGATATCTGTGGCGTGAACTAACTCATATTGGGACAGTCTGGAATTATTCCTGCTGTTACASTTTGTATGTGACTTTTGTATTCAGTATTTAATTATTCTCCATTTAAGACTTGCCAACAATTTTCCAGGAGGTAAACTTAGAATAAATGTGGATGAAAAATTTTAAAAGTATTTATTTTACTTAGTGTTTGCAAAGGAAAAGTTAATCTGATTGCAGATGATGTTATATTAGAGATTCCAGTGCTCAAAATATTTATACTTTGGATTTGTATTTATGTACTTCTAAAACTTTATCGAGTCCATAAAGATCACTGAGTTGTTTATCAGTGCACCATCAATGCTAAGGTCTATAATGACATTACAGTTTCTTCTGTCTAATTGTGATTTTGTCCATCTGTCCTAAACTGTTTGGTCATTTAAAATTATTTGTGTATCCCGGAATGGATTGATTTCTAGGCAGATTTCTAATAACTGTCTTGAAGTCAGCAAATTGTATCAGTGTGGCTGTGACGATTCAGAGCAGTCAAATGTTTGGCTCAGAACATCTGTCCACTTCCAATACTTAATATCCACTATAAACACATTATTTATAATTGGAAAAAACAAAAACAAAACAAAAAAAAAAACAGTTTCAACCAAGCTGAAGATAAACACAGATTCACCAACAAGAGCATGGAGAGAAAGTGAATTTATAATACATAAAGGTATTTTTTGGAAGGACTTTCAGGCATTCCTGCCTGAAACTCAGCAGCATTAAAAAAACATTCCATTGTTTGTATGATTCACACTAGCTGTATTTCAGTGATTTCTGTCACTAGGAGATTTCTCCAGTTGCTTAATTTTTTTTTTTCTCTGAAACCACCTTACACATCTTTTGGTTTCATGACATAATTATGTTTATTTTGTGTGATAATAATGTGAGAAAAAAATGTTTGATTACATGAAGAATGAATGGACAGTTAAGCCCCAGGATAAAAACTCACAATCCCCCTTTTTGAGGGGAGGGGAAAGGACTTTAATAGAAATRTTTTTTGAAAGAAGAGTACAGAGTGAATAAACCATTGGAGCTGAGTTTTRCCATGTTTGCCTCTGTGAACACATTAAAACATATCCACATTCTGTCCATAGATCAGAATCCAAACTCTCCCTTCCCTGGTTTCACAGAGGCATAAACCACATCACACACGTTACAACCAAAACTAAAAATCAAGCTCAGAGATCTTATGAGTGACCTGAAATTTAGCAAAGCCTGATCATCAGCTTTTTGATTCCTATCAGCACAGGGAATGATTTCTGCTAAGAATTGCACATTGAGCACGTGTTTGATTTAAAATCTTCATTTGGGAATTAAAAATCAGTCTCCTGCTTTCTGCCGGGATAGTTCTGTTTTGTTTTTTTTTTTTAAACAGACTTCATAGTGTTAGCAGAAGAGTCAAACACTGCTGTTCTGCACTGGCAACCAACATGCACCTACCCCACAATCTCATAATCTGGGATTATCAGCTCTCACAACACTGAAAAATAGTGATAATGCAATGCAAGAGAGGAACATTTAGCATGAAAACTGTTGCTTTTTTAATGCCCTTTTACTCATCTGTGATTCTTCACAGCAGCACATGGAGTGTTGGGTTGTAAATTAAAAAGAAGGGATTCATGGAGTCAAGCCTTAAATAATTGTCTGACCATCACTGGGAGACTTGGAAGATTCCTGGCTTTAAATTAATGTTTTTTTTTCTGTTCTAAAGTGATTTTAAAATTATAAATGGAGAATTCCACGCTGGGCAAAGTGGTATGAGCAGCAGTGATTTTTTTGTTGCGTCAGTTCTGACAGAGGACAGCAGAGTGACCAAGCACTCAGATTTGCTAATCACCAACAAATGTCTCCACAGCCCGGCAGAAAACAAACCACAGAATTATCATTATCTGGTATTTTCACCATGCCTGGAGTGCTCTTGCACTAAAACCACAACAAACACACCTGCAGAGAAGTGAGTGAACCTTTGGTGGGCAGGAATGGCACCCCAAACCCRCTCAGGCGGGATCAGCGCCCCAAACCCGCTCAGCAGCGGCGCAAATCCCGCCTGAGGCCGGTTTCCTCGCCGGCGGGGCTGATTGGGAAGGCAGATGTTGTCCTCCCTCTGGAAGATCCCAGATCCACCTCCAGCCTCCCATATTGTTTGTGCCTACAGATGGAWTTAGCGCTTCCTGCCATTGTGTGTGGCGTACGTCCCCGCGTCCCCGACTGACGCACGTTGGACATTCTGCCCGTGGCATTGGCGAGGTGAAGCCACGGCTGAAACTGACAAATGGCTGAAATCCAAAGATTTTTATCGTCCCATCCATGCCTTGCAGTGGTGCACGAGAGGGTTTTCCGTGTCATGGGCACGCTTTCCCCGGTCTTTACGTTGATTTTGCACCAGCGAGAGACGTCAGTGGTGTTTGATTGTGTCTAACACGGGCTTGTAAATGATCTTTAAAATAAGCTCTTGAAAAGGGATGAAATATATTTTTGAAAAGGGGATAGAATGTATTTTTGTGAAAGGGATTAAATGCATTTATCAGAGCAGAGATCATGATTTCTTAACTATGATTTTTATTGAATTATTTTAAATACTTTTACAGCTGTAAATCTTGAAATGATATGTCACATTCACATTTTGGCATTCAAAAAAATCTTATGATAAAATARTTATCTAAAGTTTGGGAATTGTGATTCCATGACTATGACTTTCTTGGAATTATTTTAAATACCTTTACCACAGTAAACCTCAAGATGATATGTTGCATTCTGATTTTGGAATTCAAAGAAATCCTATGAGAAAGTAGTTATCTGAAGTTTGGGAATTGCAATCCCATGACTATGGCTTTATTTTAATTATTTCAAATACTTTTAGGGCTGAAAATGTCAAAAATGATGTGTTGCATTCTGATTTTGAAATTCAAAGAAATCCTATGAGAAAATAATCATCTAAAGTTTGGGAATTACAATCCCATGACTATGGCTTTATATGAATTATTTTAAATACCTTTAGCACTACAAACCTCGAAATAATACATTATATTCTGATTTTGGCATTCAGAGAAATCCTACAAGAAAATAATTACCTAAATTTTGGGATGAAGACCAGAAATGTCCTGGCATTTTACTTAATAAATAAATTTTTRATGGAGCATATATAGCAGTGTTAAGGGGAAATTTCCTAACTTTACCCTGACCACATCAATTCAACTCCTGCTTTCTCACAAACAAAATATTTTCTTTTTAAAATAAAAATAATTGTGCCAATTATCAAGAAACATGAATATTTGTATGCATAGAAAATTTCCCAAGTCAGATGAGAGTGAGGAGCTTGGGTATTTGTGGACTAACTGAGTTTTAATTGATGATCATTCAGGCATTTTCTCTGCCTCTGTAGCAATAAGGATGGAGTCAAAACAATTGAGATCAGCATATTTTGTACTGAGGGAAAATAGCTTTTTTATGACCCATAAAATTAATTTATGGATGTTATTGCCATAACTCTYCCAGGGTATCCCACATTGCTTTTTCTCAAGCCTAGATTAAGCATTTATTCATGTATAAAATGATGTTTGCAATTCCATTATATCTGCAGGATAAAAAAACTATCACAGTTAGAATTTTTATTGTTTAGGCTATTGACCAATCACTAATTCAGTAGAGTTATGAGAGAGTGAATTTAGTCTGGAGAGACATGGCTCCATAATTATGGATAATGCTTTCTTCTTTAATAACACAACATATAATGAGGGGCCACATGGCACCTTTATACACCTAGAGGTTGTTCTTTTTTT